GGGAAGGGAAGGGAAGGGAAGGGAAGGGAAGGGAAGGGAAGGGAAGGGAAGGGAAGGGAGAGGGGGAGGATAGGAAGGGAGGATAGAAGGGGAGAGGAGAGCACAGTGAGGTGGGAGCAGTGGGCACCTTCTCACCCTCACACAGCATGGGGCAGTGCCACGGCCACAGACCTGGTAGTGGGGGAAGCCGCTGTGCGTGGCCAGCCGGGGCACCAGCGAGGAGATGTGGTAGATGCCGTTCAGGAGACCTTCCACCATGTCAGAGAAGCCATCGTGTGTGCCAGGGTCCAGGGATGGGTGAAATACCAAATCTGGGATCACCAAATCCAGCTGCACCTCAAACAGCGGAGCAAGCCCTGCCTTGGGATCTGGCAGGAAGGAACCAGGATCTTTCTCAAGGGGAGAAAAGGGATGCTGAGCCCCCACTAACATCCTGCCAGGAGATGCACACAGAGCAGCAGGGACAGCAGGCAGGAGGGATGGCAGACACCCACTCACAGGGTCCAGGGCTGCTGTGTCTGCACAACACGAGGAGATGTTGACAAAGCAGCTGGTGTGGTGGTACCCACCAAAGACAGTGAGGAACTGATGAGACACAAGTGATTTAAGGACTGGAAAACATGCTGAGGGAAGCTTTAAGGAGACCAGGCTCTTCAGCTACCCCAAAGGGAGTCTGAGAGCTGAACAATTACAGCAAGTAAGTACTTGCAGACGAGAAAAACAACAGGAACCAAGAGGCTCTTTAATTTACTGGAGAAAGGCATGAAAAAACCCTCAGCAACCAGAAACTTGAACCAGATGCAAATGTGACAATATGTGCAAATTTTTAACAAGATGCTGAAGAACTGGATGCGATTCTCCAACTCAGTGTGCCAGGAGGGAAGCATTCCTGGAGATGTTCTTTAGTTGGACACAAGCTTCTCTCAGCAGAGGGAGAGAATCTCCCCAGTGGTCTTAGGCAGGATTTCTGACCTAGTGGCTGCTGAGTCCAGCTCGTCTCCTTGAAGGACTAATGCTCAGGGACTGAGGTTTCTTGTTCATGACTTTCATGAGCAGAACCAGCTCTTGAGACTCCCCACAAATGAAAGATTGTGTCACCTCGATGCTTTGGGCATGGGAGGGTGGCAGATTGCTGAAGCCCAAGCCCAGACTTGGGAGGATGTCTCTGTTTTGTCTACCCATTAATCCCTGCAAATGATAAACATTCATCTCTATCCCTCCCCTCGAGGAATCCAGTGATGGAGTCACCCTCTCTGTCTGGAGGCTCCCCCAGAGACAGGGAAGAGACCCAGTGGAAAGCCAGGAAGGAGAGAACAACTTGTGGGCGTGAGGGAGAGCACAACAGGAGACCTTCCCTTGGAGAGGCTGAGCAGCCACTGTGCCCAGGGGACAGGAACCAGTGTCACCTGTGTTCTCCAGGAGGTACTTGAGCGAGCACTCAATGGCACTGAAGAATCCATCCAGGACTATCTCATCCACATAATCCACATAGGCCTTCCAGGAGTCAGATGCTGGGTCTGCAAGTAAGAGGCTCTGGTTTTCCTGGAAGAAAAAGAAGATGCCTTCAAACACAGCAGGGCTGAGTCTGTTCTCCAAGAGAGCTGCCCACAGCTAAGGACTGACGTCAGAGAGCCCCTGGGAACCAGCCTTCTGGAGGGATGGGAAAGGTGGATGTTGCTACTGGTGGTACAGCCACAATTTGCTCCTGTCAAGGGCTGCTTTGTCACCTGGAATGACTCAAGGGGAATAGGGAGTGCAGAAGAGCCTTGGCAGCTCTGCCCTATGTTCTCCTCCCTCTCCTCTGAGGACACAGCACTCAGGAATGCTTTGCAGCCCTGGGGAAGGGAGCCCTGAGGGTCTCAAAGGCTCATCCTGAGGCATGAAGAAACAGCTTGGGCTGTCCAGCCCAAGGCCAGACAGCAACCCTCGGGAGAGGACTGGACATAAAACCATCTCCTTCAGGTCAAGGGCTGCCCCTGACATGCACAACACCTGGCACCAGGCAGGTGAGGAGCTGAGCTTTGGGCCTTCTCCTGGTCTGCAGAGGACTCTGAGCTTTGTCAAAGATGCTGGGAAGCACCAAAGTTTGGGACAGCAGCTTTTCTCTTGTCACTCAGCTTCTCCCTCGACTGGCAGCATCACCTCCTGCTCCAAAGAGGGACAAGGAGTCTGAAATCCAAGGGTCAGCCCCAGCCAGCTGCCTCTGTTGGCAGGTAAGTACCTCGGAGAGCATTTTTCCTTGGAGCAGGATCCCAAACCCGATGCACCACTCCCCTCTAGTGGCTCCAGCAGCCAAGGCTGAAGCCAGACCCTTTCCTGGGCTGCAGCTGCTCCAGATCCTATCCCCAGCTGGTGCCCAGCAATGCCAAGCCACAGCCCCACACCCCCAGTCCAGCTCACTCATCAGAGCCAACATTAATTAACCCTGGGTAAGATTTTCAAATGACTTAAAGGAGATCATTTAAGGTCCAGCAGCTCTGCACATTTTCACTGGCTCTGGGACACACAGAGCCTGTGAGGAGCCAACAAACCCCAGGGAAGGTCCCCCTCACCTTCAGCAGGGAGTGGATCCTCTGCCCAGCCTCTCTGACCAGGCTGTAGCGTTTTTCCAGGTGATCCTGACAGTCCTCCAGGCTCAGCACTGAGTCCCTTTTAGAATCCTTCCTCTGCAGGATGGGTGATGCCCACGAGCCCACAATGCTCTGGATCAGCTCAACATTGTCCTTGGCTTTCTGCAGCCTCTGCTCGAGGTCATGGACACCCTCCATGACCCCAGAGATGTGATCCCACACACCTGGGGAAAAATGAGACCACTGACTCCCTGTTTTCAGAGCTGCAGGGCCAAGCTCTGGGGCATCTTCCTTCAGAGCAGCCTCTGGCTGTTTCCCCAAGGTCTCACATATCTCTCACCCATCCTTAAGGCAAGAGACTCACCTGGACCAGCACAGCCGCTTCTACCTCCCTCCTGCCCCACCAAGCCACGGTTCAGAGCAGCACAGCCTCTTTCCTGCCAGGAGCACCCCCAGCATGGGGATGCCTGACAGCTCCTGCTCCCCTGTGCCAGGATGATCTCCCAGGGACTGACCCCGGGGGGGGGAGTGTGGGGAGGGTGGGTACAGCAGGCTGAGTGTCCCTGCCCTTACCACCAGAGCAGGGCCCCCCAACCCCAGGCTGTGCCTGCCCCAGGTGCATTCAGGTGCAGGAAACTTAGGGTTCATCTGCAGCAAAATCCATCTTTATTGTACAAAGGAGAAAGAGTTTTTGAGCCTGAGGACTTCTGCTTTGCATGTTCCCCAGGGATTCACTTGGTCCTGCTCATACCACAAGCCTGAGGACAGAAACACAAATCCCCCCTGTGAGCAGTTTGTTCTCACCAAGAGGCTCCCTCTGCTCTGCTCTGCAGCTAAAACTGCTCAGGGAGGAACTTGGTTAAATCCCTCCGATGTCCCAGTGCCCAAACACACCTCCAGCTGCACTATTCCATCCTGCTAGGAAAGCTAATGAGGTGGCCTGGGATGAGGTGTTCCAGTGCCAGATGGCTGGGCCAAAGGGCTCCCACTGCCTGGCCAGCTGGGTGAGGAAGCAGTGACTGAGTGGCATCACTGGGGCTGGCACAGGGGGGCAGCAAGGCAGGGAGCAGATGCTTCAACCCCAGCCTTGCCAGGTCCTGCAAACCCAGATCTTGCCATCTCACTGCTCACAGGGCAGCCTCTCCTGCTCAAAGCCCAGGCTGAACCTGAGGGCAGCAGGATCCTGCCCACAACCCCAGCAGATCAAGGGAATGTGGAAAGAAGCAGGAAAGCTGAGGGCTGCTCCTCATCTCCCCAGTGCCTTCTCTGCTGGAGAGTCCTCTGGTCAACTGGGAACTGCCATTGGGAACCAGGAGACAGGGGTTGGAATCTGCTGGAATCACAGGGAGGAATCTGCTGAGAGCCAGTTCTGTGCTCTGTCCCCTCCCCCAGAACCAGCTCACCCTCCATCTTCCAGGTCAGGGTTTCTTCTGCCTCTTTCAGCTTCACATCAACTTCCTGAAGCTGCCCCTGCACCAGGGGGTATTCCACCTCCAGCACTGTTCTCAGGACCTTGTTGTACCTGTTCCCCATCAGCTCCAGGCTGGCCACCAGCTGCCGGTAGGACTCCCTGGAGGAGTAGATTCCTGCTGCCATGGCTGGGATGGCTCCTGCCCGGCTGCCCGACAGGTAACTCACCTCCCTGAGCACCGAGACCAGCTGGGGACACAAAACACACAGCTGAGCACGGGACAACCCTCCCCATGTCCTGGCAGACACCCTCCAACCAACCCCGAGCACCCTGGGGGATTCCTGCTGGTTTATTCCCAAAGCAGCACACTGGAAAGGGCCTGGACACCTCCTGGTCTGTACTGCCTGTCTCCCTTGCATCTTTGCTTCTGGTTTTCTTCCCAGCCAAAGGCCCAGAGCTCTGCTAACTACCTAGCCTGCAAACTCCAGCCAGGCTCTAAAAGACACAGTCCCCTCTGGCCCTCTCAGCCATCCTCATCCATGTGGATCACCCCTCAGGTGATGAGGGACTCACATCACCAGTCTCTCAGCAATTCTGCTCCTGCAGAGTTTGACCCTGACTGAAAGATAAGATGGCTCCAGTTCTCTTGGTTTACTGGGCTGACTGGCTTTAAAGTATAAAAACATTAAAAAAAAAATACTACCATGGCCCCAAGCCATGGTGACTTATCTCCTCCTGTGCCCACCTTCCACCAAAGATATCCAGAGGCTTTTCCCATCCCAACCAAAGCACTCGGTGCTGGTGCATGTTTGAGGTGTTTGAGGTGTGATGGGACAGGACTGAGGGGGATTATTTAATCATAAACCCAAGTATAAACAACTCCCTGCAAAAAAGGGAGCAGCAGGGTCTGCCAGTGCAATACATCCCCTGTGAGACTAAAAGCCTTTGCTCAGTCCAGTGCCCAGTGAGTGGCAAAATGCTTCTGGGGTGGCACATGCTGGGTGACACACAGAGTGACAGAAACTCAGCCCATCATGTGGGCAATGGTGGGGTGAGGAGCTCTCCTGGCTGCAGAAGAGCTTGGGGGGCAGCTCCCAAAAAGTCACCTTTCCCTTAGCAGAATGTGTCATCCCTTCCTGTGAAGGTATGGGGCAGACCTCTGTCTGATCCCATCCCACCAACACCCTCTGGTCCCAGTTCCCCGACCCTGTTTTCCACAGGAGAACTGGAATCTGCAGGTGTGGCCATAAGCAGGTGAAGCCACAAGGCTGCCAGGGTTCCAGGAGCCTTTGTCACTGCCCTGGGTGGCAGGCAGGGGTGACTGAAACCTCTCCACCACTGCCTGATGTCAGCCAAACCCCAGTGTCCTGCAGAACAGGCCAAGGCCCCTGGAGCACATTCCCTCTGGAGGAATGGCACAGAGGGGATCAGGCAGTGCCTGTCAGGAGAGTCAGTCGTGACACACTCAGTGTGTCAGTGAAAACAAAGGAGAAAGAAAGAAGGGGTGAAGACGAGTGCAGGGGGCAGTCTGGAAAGGTGGAAGAAGTAGGATGTGGTGGGAGGAAAGGGAAAACCAGGGGCTGAGGAAATGAGAGGGCAAATGAGACAGAACCGAGCTCCCCTCCCTTCTCTGCACTGCAACATCTCGACATCCCCACCGTGGGCTGGGGGGTCTTCCCTTCTCTCCCCTCCTCCATGGAAGGTGACCTCTGGAATGCATTTCCATGCTGAAGAGTGGCAAGTACATCCTCCCCTCCAAGCAAAACCAGGTGCTCCTGGTTCTGTTGGTCCTGGAGGGGCTGCTGAGCAGGCCCTGGGGGCCGTCGGACCATCCTCAGTGTGCTCACAAAAAAGCAGCCCAGCAGCACTCACAGACTGGAGCTGAGGACAGGCACACTCAGCACATGCCAGCCTCCAAATCCCATCACCAGTGGGAAAGGTAGAAAATATCCCCCAGGTCCAGTTGGCTCCCACCTGAGCAAGGAGCTTTCAAGGAGATGGACAAATCCTTCGACTGAGGGGCAAGCTGGAATGAGATCTAAAACCTAAACCCTTTCCTTGGACAGCAGCAAGCACCAAGGACAGGGGCAGCTTTGAATGCCAGTGTTTCCAAGGCCACTGCAACTCCTCCCCTTCCCAGCAATGGGTGTTTTTACAGCCAACAGCCCCTGGCTCCCACCAGACCCAGAAGCTCTCAGCTCATCTGTGCCCACTGCTGGCTCAGACCCTGCTCCTGCTCCAGGGGACCCAGAATAGACCTTAAATCTGTTATCAGCCTCATGCTCTGCAGTGAAGGAAACACTGGAGTCATAAAACAAATCCTTGCCGGGTGTTTTAGACCCTCTCAGAAGCTCGGGTTTCAGGTACACATAACACAAACCCACCTCTGGAGATGATGTCCCAACACTCCCCACACCAGTATTGACACTGGTCTGGATGTGCTGACACCAGTTACACACCTGGCTCCTCAGGGACTTTCTGCCACTGGTTCTGACTAGAATTTGCTCTGCTAAAACTGTGATCCTGATATTTCTCTAGGAGACAGAGCCCATGAAGATGATGGTAAATCCATGTCACCCACCACAGAAAGGGTTCCACAGACCTCAGAGAACAGACCTGGTACCAACCCCCCCAGACCTGTGCACAGTGGAGCACAGCTTGGGGACATGCCATGAGAGGCAGGAGAGAGGCAGCAGTTCCTACCTGGGGATCAAAGTTGACAGTGATCAGTTTGGTCTCTGGGTCTCGCCGGATGAGCGGCTGAGTCAGGTTGTACTGAGATTTTTCTGAGACTGTCTGGGACCAGTCCAAATACAGTTTGTCCTGATACCTGACAGAAAAGAGAAACATCACCATGTGCTTACCAAGCCAGCAGACCATGGCATGTAACTGAATGGAAGTCCTGTCCAATCTGAGGACTAAAACTATGAAGGAATGTTAAAAACCCATCCATGCCATCTTCCTAAAAATCGTGGCTTCCAAGACGAACACCCAAATGCCAGTGACAGCATCAATGCAAGAGGACAAAGCTCTCTCAAGTATCAGTTTTAGCAGAGGTTTCAGATTTGTAGGCAGACTTTCCAAAGCATTTACAAAGTGACAGATCAGCAGCTGATGGGCATTTCCAAAGTGTTTGAGCAGGGTGGGTGCCACAAACCCACAGGGATGCTGGGGGTGGCTCCAGCTGCAGCTGCACAATCTCTGTCACAGAGACTGTGACACCACTGTCTGTGAGCACAGAGGGCAGAACAGGGGCCTGGTACCTCACATGTCATGGACAGCCCCAACCACCCAAGGAACAAAGTCTCTTCTGAATCAAATTGTCACCTGAGCACCTTGGTTGGGAAATGTCACCAAAAACCAGCACCTCTGTTGGGTCACCCAGACGCTCTTTGGGGCTGCTGCCTTCGGAAGGGCTGCGCTAAATTATCCATTATCCAGCCTTTGTTCTGGTATTGGGAACAGGGCTCTCTCCATCCCCCCTGCAGGACCCAGCAGCCTTCACTGCTGACAGGGATGAGGCCCTGCAGAGATCTCCTTCCTGGGGAAGAGGCTCCCCTGAAGAGTCAGCCCAGAGCAACCAGTTTAACATGAAACATTGAGATGCCAAGTCAAGGGCAATGACTCCCACTTCAAACTGTGCAATATAAACATTACAGTCACTGCAAGCACCATCAGTGAGTGGGCACGAGTGGGCAGAGACTTCTGCCCAGCCCAGGCCTTCTACCTCAGCAGCTCCTCCATCCCACAGTGGCTTTTTCCAAAGTTTCTTTGGGCTGCACAGCCCCTGTTCCTCCCATGCAGAATTCTCCTTTCAAGCCATCCCAGGAAGCCTTTGGTGTACACTGACAGGATCCCTCCTCCTCTCCCAGCAGAAAACTCACTCTGGCTTAGGAAGAGACATTCCCAGGCCCTGGGCTGGTGGATGTGCTGGAAGGTAGCTTAGAGGAGGAGAAAGTTTCCTCACACAGGGCCTGAGCCCCACTCACCTGTCGAGCAGCTGGATCATCTCCTCATATTTCTGTACCACCCTCTTTCCTTGGGCAGAGTCCAAGCACCTGGAGACACAACAGACCAGCTCAGGGCTATGTTTAGTCCTGACAGGCTGCAAGCTGTATTTACCTCTTCCCAAGAACCCCCACCAGAGTGCAGGCAGGTCACTGCTGGGTGAATGACTGTTGGGTGATGAGAATTCCAGCTCTGGTTCATTTTCTTGACCTTGGGTTAATGCTGAGAAAGTTGACTTCTGTCAGTACCTGAGGGTTGGGCTGCTCCCAGGCAGGTCCTGGAGACCAGGCTGAGTGGGATTGCAGTGAGAAAGATTCTCACAAAATTACAGAATATTCTGAGTTGAAAGGCACCCACAGGGATCATCAAGTCCAACTCTAAGATGAATAGCCCATATATCAAACCCATGACCTTGCTGTTATCAGCACCACATTCTCACTCCAGTACTTCTTTCAGTTGCAGCCTAGCACCGTGTCTGAAAGCTGAAGTGCCCATTAACTACCCCACTGTGCCTCTTACCCACTTCAAAACAAACCTAGTTAATGAGTTTCTTTAAAAAGACAGGATGGCAGGGAAGGGAACAGCACCAGTGCGCTCCCTCCAATCCTCCACTGAGGATTGTCCGAGTTGGAACCACTGGATAACATTCAAGTCAGAATATTGGATTGATTAGAGACAAGATTTCAAGGTGGCCAGAAAGCAGCTGATCTGGAGCAGACACTCACAGGTGTGGGATGTGCCTGAGCTGGTCAAAAGGCCTCTGGATCCGCGCTCGCAGCTCCCGAGCCCAGGCCAGTGCTCCAGCCACGGGGGGCATGTTCTTGTGCAGGGGGGGAGACCCTGGGGGGGACATGGAGACAGCATTTCACTGAACACAGCACTATAACCCCAAAGATAAACCAACAGGCTCTGGAACCCCAAAGATACACCAACAGGCACTGTAATCCCAAAGAGACACCAACAGCAATCCATCTGCACAAACTGCCCTGGTTTCCCAGCTTCTTCCCTGAAATCCAATGTCTGCTACATGATGTAGGTCTGGGACAAATCCCCTGTGCCCCTGGACCCTAAATGAGGGAAGCCCAGTATGTGGTAGAACCAGAGCTGATTGAGGCATTCTGTGCCTGGGGTGCATTCCCTGCTCCCCACAAACACCAGGGGAGCCATTTCTGCCCAGAAGCTCGTTGTGACCATCCCCTCTAACACCCACAGAACAACGCCTCCCAAATCCACAGCAAATTCTGGACTCATTCTCTCTGGACTCTCAACTCTGCACTGGTTTCAGAACAGTCTTCCTGAGGCAAGGAAAAGGGCTGCTGTTCAAAAAGACACACTAATCCTCATAATCTGACAGGAGTCTCCCCATTCCCTCCTGTGCCAACATTCAGGGGAAATAATAAACCTGGAAAAGGCTGACAAAACCCTTAATTCCCAAGTCCCCCTTCCATACTCAGCATTACAAGGGAGAAGCTCAGCATGTGCCCTCATTCCCACTCACACATACACCTTTAGAAAAGGATATTTCAACAGATTATTTGCTTCAATGCCAAGAACAGAGCATTCCCAGGCATTTCCATTTCCACAGGGAGCTATAGAGGCTGAAAACCTTTGCACTTTGGAAAGCCCTGATTTCCTCAGCAAAAGCAAATTATTTCCTCCCCTAAATTAATATAAATCAAATTTACTATAAAGTCACTTTTCCTCAGCACACAGGGCACCCACCAAGCTCGAGCCCTGCCTGGGTATGCCTGCAGTAGATGAGCCTGGTCTGGTCCAGGGCAGTGCTGAACATGCTGATGAGAACAGGCCATTTGTCAGCAGCGACTGCAGCGATCACTGGACGCTCCAAAAGGCTCTGGAACATGGTCAGCAGCTGAAGAGGGGGAGAAACAGGGAAAGAAATGGGGAAAAATTCACACCTCTGCAAAGAGACCCACTGGGATTTTTCTCCCTGACCCAGATGTTTCACCTTTCTCAGTAGCCCAAAAGTCTGCACGGATGGGCACTTTGGCAAAGGGAATTTTTTTCCCCCCTGCTTTTCCAAATATTTTCTCCCTTTCATAGAATCATTAAGGTGGGAAAATACCTCCAAGATCATTAGGTCCAACCTTTGACCGAATCCCACCGTGCCCACTAAACCACATCATGGAGAATATCTTTATGAGAGGTGCTCAGACTTCCTCTGGGGGTGAACCACATTCCCACTGTCATTCTTCAAATGTGTTATTGTCATGCTTCAAAATGTGTTATTTAAAAAAAAAAAAAAAAGACTCAGAAAGATAAACAGTATCACTTCTATCTCTTTCTATAGACTTTTCCACAATTATATGGAAATTTTTCAGAAAATACATTTACTTTCTCTGCAGGATGGATTCATTGGTAAACAAACCAGCCTTGTTTCTAAAAAACCCTCAGTTTTCAAAGTCAAAGTGCATCCATGTGTTAACTAAAACAACAAATTGATATTAACAGCAGCTCTCACCAGGAAATCAAAGAATCATGGAATGGTTTGGGTTGGAAGGGATTTTACGGATCATCTCATTCCACCCCACTGACATGGGCAGGGACACCTTCCACCAGACCAGGTTACTCCAAGCCCTGTCCAACCTGGCCTTGAAAATCCTGGACAAAGCATCATTTCCTCCAGCCCGCAGACAGACCAGTAAAACTTCTGGCATCCAAAAGCTTGATTTGAGTGATTTCTTTGACTACTCTTCCTCAAACTGAGTAAAGGTCTGTTCTGTTTGTGTCTTAATGGGAAGAGCAGGAGCCCTCCCAGGGTTTCCAGAGCCACCATGGCACAGCTCAGGAGGGACCCACATCCCTCACCACATCCAGCCCAGCAGCTCAAGTGTCACTGTCCCCCTGTCCATCCCATGGCAAACACCAGCCTCACATGCCTCCAGCACTGCCTGGGACAGGCCAGTTGGGACTCCCCAAGGCAAACTGGGACAAGGGAGGGGCCACACCAACCTTGAAGATGTGCTCCAAGTCCAGGGTGTCATCAAAGGCCTGGGTGAACACAGTGCTCAACCGGTGGTCGATGTCCTCTACTTTCTGCTGGAAACCCAAGGCATCCTGCTCAAACTCCTGGGGGAAGGGGAGAGTGAGCTGTGAGACAGTACCAGGGATATATTTCCTCTTCTTATTCACCAGGAATTAAACCACTCCTCTGGCCAACCTCCAGCCAAGTTCCTCTTGGGAGAGTTGAGACACTCCTGTCCCGTGGTTGGATCAGGGCCCTCCAGGACAGATCCACAGTCCAAGGGGTACTAACTTCAACCTAGGCACAAGATAGACCTTTAACTGCACTTTCTTACCCTGCACTTGATCTGAAGACCACACCATCGTCCAAAAAACCCAGAGATGCACTCGTTGAGTTCCAAATCCCATCTACTTTCAAGCCAAAACATCCCCATGGTTCTGTTCATTGGGTGACTCCAAGTGGTGCAACAACAAAGGCAGTTCCAAAACACTTGGCATGGGCTGCCCAAGGGGGCTGTGGAGTTCCCACTCTTGGACACTTTCAGCCTCAGAGGTATTAATCTGGTTAAAGCCCTGCTCCAGATGGGCCTCTTTTGAGCAGGAAGGTGGACTGGGTGACCTCCAGGGGTCCTCTCCAACCCCAACAGTTCTGTATTTCTGTGATTCCCATCATCTTCTGGCACAGCTCTTCTTGCCCCAGTTGGAATAAATCCTTTGAAGTTCAAATGTAAAATCTACCTTTGTTTTCCTACAGGTAGAAGAGTCCAAATCAAAGTCTGAACCTGACAAATGGGAAGACTTTCAGGGCTTCTGCCCTGGCTTGGCCAAAGCCACCAGAAATGAGGCCATGTGTCTTTTTTCTGGAAGGAGAGAGCATAAGGCAACAGCTTTTGCTGGTATCACTGCTCAGCTCCAGCAGCAACAGATGCTGTGTTTGAGCTAAAAAGGAGGCTCTAGAGAGTAACAGAGAGAACAGAACTCAACCACTGAGAGAACGAGCACAGCTCAGAGTCACATAACACACCACGGGGTCACTGGAACCAAACCAGCTCCTGCAGAGCCACTGCCACACTGTCACCCTCCTTCAGAGCCCTCTTTCCAGCAGGATTGTCCCAGGCAGCCCTGGGGATGTGCCACCCACTGCAGGGGTGGACCAGGAGCTACAGGGAGCAAAGCACAAGCCAGCCATCCCCACAGCAGGCAGGACCCAGCAGCAAAGGAGAGGCTCCCACCCCCAGCCCAGCCACCCCTCACACAGCTGCTCCAGCGTAACCCTGGAGCCCTCCCCACAGAGCTGCCCTCAGGCCACCCCAGCTCTACCCCTCCCTCCTCCAGCTGTGGGGACAGGCCTGACCACGTCCTGCTCACCAGCCACAGCGGATCCCTTGGGAAATGCCATTCCCACTGTTCCTGCACAGCTCCCTGCTGGTGTCACAGCCTGGGGCAGGAGCTCTGAGCAGGCTGGCTGTCCATGGCACGTTGGCTTTGCCCTGTGTGTGCCACCCCCATGGCCATGGAGCCATGACCCACGGGAAATATTCCTTTAATTAAAGAACTGCTGATAACCAAACAGAGAGTCCCTGAATTCTGAGAGCTGAGATGCCACATGTTTCTGCAGACAGGGGCAAACACATCCCCAGGGACTGTGGAGCTGGCCCTCTTCCCAAAACCAGGCACTAAAGCAGGAAAGCAGGACAGCAAAGGGATGGGGGTGCTGGCACAGGTCAGACACACCAGCAGGGAAAGCTGGGGAAAGGCAGGGGAATTCAGGCTTCCCATCTGCACCGGTCTAAGGTCCTGAACCAGCAAGGTATACTAGATATGGAGCTGCAAGAACTCCCAAATCTCTGCAGGAAAGGCCAGCAGCTCCCTTTTCCTTCAGTGACAAATCCCATCACAAAGAGTGGGCTGCTGCTCTGGGAACACAGATGTCCTGCTGGTGCTCCTGCAGGCTGGTCCCACCTACCGTGCTGTCCAGGTCGAGGCAGTCGTAGCTTCGCTCTGCAAACACCTTGTAGGCCTCCTGGAACTCCTCATGCATGTCCAGCACCTGCTGGCCCAGGGCCCTCCCTCTGATCCCGCTGAACTCCATCTTCTCCAGCTTTGTCAGGTCCAAGGCCGTGGTCAGGAGACTCTGCAGAGCCAGTGGGGGCACACACAGAGTCAGATGGTGACACAGCACTGTGCTGTGTCTGCTGCCCTGCTGAAGGACCTGCCCAGGCACATCACAGGGGAGTGACACAACTAGGAAGTGGGGAGCCACCTGTCCTGAGCCACCTGTCCTGTTCACAGCACATCCCTCTCCAGAGGGTCACTGCCCCTTCCTAGGTGGCCTTGTCTGCTGAAAGGACACAGGTCCTTCCTTCCCAACCTCAGGTGGCAGGGGAGCAGGGCAGGGCCTGGCCCCACAGTGCCAGCTCTCAGGAGGTGCCCCACTGACCCAGCTGTGGCAGCTCTGCCCCCCCCACACCCCATCCATTCCTTTTGCTCAGGCTAAACAAGGTCTGTTTTCCCAGAGGACCAGGAGAAATGCTCTGCTCTCCAGCACAGGAATGTCCTGCTGGCTGTCCAGCTTGCTGTGAGCTCAGGGACAACCCCAAAAGCTGAGCTGAGCAGGCATGGAGCTTCACCCCCAGGCAGGCAACACTTGGCCAGCACCTCCCAGGCAGGAGCTGCCAAAGGGGTCCCAGGACACGGTTGGCCCTGTGTCCACTGGTACTACTCTCTGCACCAGCCAGCACAGTCTGCTCACCTGCACACCAAATCCTTCCAGAGAACTGGGATTGTTCAGCCTCAAGAAAAGAAGGCTCTGGGGAGACCTTAGAGCCCAAGTGGTGCCCGGGCTCGGGGTGAGCATGTGGCCTCTCCAGGTCAGGCAAGACCCAGCCCTCGAGTGTCTCTGAAGGCCACAAGAGGCCCAGGAGTTTGTACAGGCTTATTACAGCCCCAAAGTCCCCATCCCCTGCTCCAACAGGAGCATGGAGTCCAAGAGGACTCTTGGGAGCACCGACCAAGCTGAGCAGAAGGACACAGCAGTTTATCTGACAAATGCACTGAGTAAGATCTGGTCAAACAAGGCGCTGGCCTTGATGCCATGGGAGATGGGACAGCCCCATTCCCTGCCATCAGGGGAGGCCACAGGGAGGGAAGATACCAGTGAATGAGTTCATGGCTGCAGAGCTCTCCTGATGGCTTGGAATACTCTTCAAGAGCAGAGTCTCACCTTCACCATCTCCAGCCTCTTCAGGAAGCTGTCCAGCCTTGCAAACACCATCCTGGAGTGGAAGTCCCACTTCCTCACTTCCTGGCCTGGCTCATAATACATGTGCAGGTTTTCCCGTCTCTCCTCAAACACCCCTTTGAAGCCATTCAGGATGTCAAGCACTATTTGCACCTTGCCCAGGCTCTCTTCCATCTCTCCTTTCAGAAGGTCCTCTGGAGACAGGTACACCACTGCCTGGAAGAGCAAAATCACACCTGAGGGGTCACTTCTGCCAGCACAGCAGTGACTTCTTGCACTGAACATGTCTGCCCCTGCCTCTGAAATTCAGAATCACTCTACCAGGGAAGGATGGAGGATAGAAGGAGAGAAGAGACATTCATAAAGAACTTCTCATGGCAAACACAGGTGCCACAGACACACACCTGCTGGATGAACAGGTTGCAGATTTCCTGGAGCAGAACTATGATCCTCACAGCCACGTTGTAGTGCTTGCAGGTGGCCCAGATCCAGCACACCACATGGAGCAGAGGGGCCAGGAAAGGCTTCACCTTGCTGAACTCCACAGCCTCTATGTCCTCCAAGGGCCGCTGGAGGGGTGTCAGGTGAAGGTGGATGTCCTGAGCTTCAGCCAGAGCTGTGGGAAGAGATGGGAGCAGTGGTGAGAGCTGTGGGGTCAGCAGTCAGCACCACGGTGAAGCTGTCCCAGCATCTCACCTGCCTCAACGTCCCTGAGCATGGATTTGAAGGCTGGGACGTAGATGCTCTTCACTCTCTCCAGCACCTCCAGCAAGTTCCTGACCTTCCTCGACCTCAGCTGGTCATAAATACATTCCAGCTCCTCACACCTGCAGCAGCCAAGACAGGTCACCAGCCCATGCTGGGGCAGCACCAGCTGTCCCTCCACACCACCCATTTCCCCTGGGCCTGATCCAGGATCTCCTGCAGCTACACATGGACTGAGTCCCAGCAGGGAAAGGGAACAGGACCCACCCTGCAGGATGGTCAGGGGTGCTGGGAGTGAGCATGAGAGCAGCTCTGCTGGGGGCAGGGCTCTGCTGAAAGGAGCCATGTGGTGTTTCAGCAGGCAGGGCTTTGTCCCGGGTCAGCCTGAGCCAACTCCACACAAAGGCAGGATCAAATTCCACTCCCTGGCTCATCTAACCCCACTCTGGCACCAACAGCCCAGCAGCAGCAGCCAGCTGAGGGCACAGAAGGCGTCCATCAGCTCCACTCTGGGGCTGGTTCCCAGTGAACAGTGACGGAAAGAGCATTTCGAAAAAGCTTCCCTCACGGTGGAGCCCCAAGCTGTGTTGGGGCCCAGTTAAACCCAGCCAGCTGCCCAGCAGCTCCCAGGCACCTTGAGATCATCATTATTTCATGTGTGGGAGCACTTTTCCTCAGCTCAGGTCTCTGCATGACCCTGAGCAGCTGCTCTTCTCGACTCTCAGCAGCAGCAGCAGCTCTGTCTGCACCAGCAGCTCCCTCCACCCTGCCCAGCACCAGTGCCCACTGTGCCCTGGGCAGGGCCCCAGAGTACCTGTTCTTCCAGAATTCCAGTTCCACCTTTGGGTTGGGGTTGCTGCCTTTCAGGAGAGGCTCTGAGGAGTCTTTCTTCAGGGCTCTCTGGATCTGGTGGCTCCAGTCAATGATGGCTGACTCAGTGGCATGGACGAGGGATTTATCAACCAGCTCCAGGCTGCACAAACAGACCTCATGGATCACTTGGCTTTCCACATAATCCATGTGGATCCAGCTCAAACAACCCCTTGGGCAGCTGGGCTTTGCAGTTACAGTCTAGATTCATATTTCAAAACCACAAAACAATCAAACCCATAAGATTTTGTCTTTGTTTTAAACGGGGATTGCAGCCTGAAGGAAATGGATGAAGCTCCACAGCAGAGTGGGTAACAACACATTGGTCATGAAGTGAATCCCCACAAAGAGCCAGCTGCCACCCCTACACAGCCAGTCACTGTCACACCAGATCCTTCTGGGTTCAGTGTTTGACCTGCAGAGCTGCACCCCCAGCAAGTCTCTCTCTACCCACTCTCTTCTCCCTGAATCTATTTTACCTTCCCACAGACCTTCACCTGCTTAATTCAGAGAGAAAGGACACAGAGTGGGTGAGGTCAGGTCATCCCCCTGCCTTGGGAGCAGAAAGTCCCCATTCCATCCCACTCAGGACATAAAACCACACAGGTCATACTCACAATCTCTCATTTTCAGGATCAATGTTCTCAATTCCCTCTGAGCCAGCTGGAAGAGGTAGCAAGGTCCTGCCCTTGACATGGCCAACAACCATGAAAACAGTTTTTTTTAGGCTGTGGACATGATGGATGATGTCCTGGGACACCACTCGTGGCCAGCCCTGGTGGTTCTTGCGGTTGGTCAGGATGGGCACAATCACCTACAGCAGGAGCCATGGAAGAGCAATGGAGAGGAGCTGAAGGAGGGCAGGGTTAGATTGGATAGCAGGAAGAAACTCTTCCCTGTGGGGGTGGGGAGGCCCTGGCACAGGTTACCCAGAGAAGCTGTGGCTGCCCCTGGATCCCTGGAAGTGTCCAAGGCCAGGTTGGACGGGGCTTGGAGCAACCTGGGCTGGTGGAAGGTGTCCCTGCCCATGGCAGGGGCTGGCACTGGATGATCTTTAAGGTCCCTTCCCACCTAAACCATGCTGTGATTGGATGATTCTTTGAGAAAAAGTGCTGCAGGAGACAGACAGGCCACCAGGCTCCACAGTCCTGACTTGGCCAAGCCAGGAGATCCATACTCATCACCGTCCCAAGCAGTTCCCTGCCTGTGTGAAACAAGGGCAGGTGACGACGTAGGGCCTCCTTCCAGCCCACACTGTTCCTAGTGAACCCTCTCCCCTGAATCCAGGCAGCTGAGAGGGGTGAAAACCAGCAGAGAAAGTGAGCTGACCCGTCCTCGGGCTCTCTCAGCCTCTGAAACAACAGACAGCTCTGTGGGACCTTGTCCTTGGCTCTTCCCACATCTCCCAGTGCTGACCCCCCAACCCAAGGGTTGTCCCTGCACAGAACCCCCCTGGGTGCAGAGGTCCCTGGTACCTCCTGGGATCTACTGCTGCTGAGGGTTCCTCCATCCCCACCCCAGCCACACTGTCAGCCTTGAGCACAGCCACTCTTTAGGTTATTTTCTGAGGTTGCAACCCACTAAATATGATTTCTGTCTCTAGCAGGGAAGTTGCAGGGTCTGCACTGACCCAGCACCACACAGACCCATGGCTGGGCTGGGCTTGCCTGGACCTGAGCTGCTTCTAGCTTGTTTGTGACAGCAACAGTGCCTGTCACCCACCCTGGGCTGGCTCTGGGATTGGAGCCAGGTCGTCCCTGGTGACAAACAGTCTTTGTGTGACCAGGCTTGGGAGAGGCCAAAGGTATAAAACCAGATACAAAGGGACATGGAAGCAAAAAGGAACAAAGCAGCCCAGCACCACCATGAGGCCCTCCTAGGGTGCTGAAGATTCTTTGCCTCATGCCTGAGGAAGACCAGGAGCAGCAACCACAGTTGCCCAGGGAGCCTTGGGAAAGGGGGGCACAACCCCAGGGCACACAGGCAGACCCAGAGAGCTCCAACTGCTTCAGCTGCACTTCTAGCAGTTGTCTCTATTACTCAAATCACACGGACTGCCAATGAGAGTAATGTCATAACCAGCCAAAGAAGCTGTTCATTTTCTTTTGGATTGTTAAAATGACAACTGGGCCCCCAATGAACCCCCCAGCCCCACAGCACCGAGGTGTGTCCCCTGCAGCCGTCACAAGGGGTAGGTGTTACAAGCAGGTGAGGTGGCCCAAGCTGTGACCCCCAGCTGTGACCCACAGACACGATTTGGTGGGTCAGTTCCTGGTGCCCCAAACAACCCACAGAAAGCTTGACACAAAATGTTTATTTCAATGAAAAATTCCTCTAAGACTGTCCTAACAACTTGTGACAAAAGCTTCTGGGAGAAGTGCTTGTGCTGCAGGCAGAGCCACATCTGAACTAGGTCCAGGAAATTCAGTGCCTTTTCCACTTACACACAGATTCACCCCATCCCCAGTGGAAATACCACATCTGCCTGCACAGGGGAGGGACCAAAGTCTGCAATTGCAGCTGGGATGTGCAAAACCAGGTGCTGAGGGCAGCCAGAAAGCAGTATCTAAGAGGACCTGGGGAGTGTTCCTACCCCAGCACCTCTCTGCAGCAGATGGTGTTTGCAGTGCCCAGTGTGTCGCCCAGCAGTGCCCACAGACAGAGCAGAAGCTGCTGCTCGAGCCAGCTTTCCAAACCTCAGGGCCCATCCAACACCTTGGGAGAAGAGCTCCCCATGTACACAATGTGTTAACCTACGAAACCCTGAGAGCCAGCCTGGCAGCCTGCTCTTGGGAATCCAGGATCAGTCACCATCCTAAGACACCAACAGCATCATCTGAGCTTTGCAAAGTAAGCAGTTCCTCTGCTTTCCCATTCAGCCTCCTGCTGGGACTTCTCCAGGCCAGGGGCCGTCGGGAATAACTTCAGACAGTGCTGTCTAGGTCAGGCTAATAACACAGGAAGGAGAAAGTTCTTGAGCCTCTTGAAGATCCCTTTGGAGAAACATCAGCCCACCTGAGGTAACTGTGCACTCAACTGCCAAAGGCTCTTTTTAACATCAGAGAAACACTTTTTCATGGTGAGGGTGACCAAGTGCTGGCAGAGGCTGCCCAGAGGCTGTGAAGTCTCCATCCGTAGAGATACTCAAAAGTCACCTGGGTGCGGTTCTAGGCAACTGGTTCTGGTTCTGGGGGGCGCGGCTTGAGGTGGGGCTTGGACCAGATGGCCCTGAAATGTCCCTTCCAGCACTGATTGTCACAGAATCACAGAATGGTTTGGGTTGGAAGGGACCTTAAAGATCATCTCATCCCACCCCCTGCCACAGGCAGGGACACCTTCCACCAGCCCAGGTTGCTCCAAGCCCCGTCCAACCTGGCCTTGGACACTTCCAGGGCAGGGGTAGCCACAGCTTCTCTCTCAGGAACCCATTCCGTGATTCTGTACAGTGGGTCAGTCCCACACGGACACCCCAGCGAGACAGCCCAGAGCCACGGCGGCTGGGGATTTCGGGGTGTCTTTCAGGGGGCTCTGCAGCCGCCGGCGCTGCCTCGCTCCCCCTTACCTCCTCCAGCAGGGCGGCGAAGTGCGCCAGGGGGTCCGCGGGGAGGTCCCCGCAGAGCAGCTCAGCGGGGCCGGGGTCGGCTCCGGGCGGGCGGAGGAAGAAGATGGCCTTGCTGGAGGCGGGGGGCGGCGGGGGCGGCCCGGGGCGCAGTCCCAGCTCCCCTCCGGGGCCGCGCCAGGCGAGCAGCACCGGCCCCGCCGCGCCCCGCACGAACCCGCGCAGCGCCCGCGCCGCTCCCGCGAAACGCTCGGGGGATACCGCCAGCGCCCGCGCCGCGCCCCGGCACAGCCGCTCCGACACCGGCTCCGGGGCCTCGGGGGGCTCCGGCCCTCCCGCACCGGCGTCCTGCGAGGGTTCCGAGGGCTCCGGCCCCACGGCCCCGCGCTCCCCGCCGGGCTCCGCCGCCTCCATCCCGCCCGCACCGCCGAGTGTTTGCGGGAGCAGCCGCCGTTGCCCGGGCGACTCCCGGGAGCCGCTCCCGTGTCCCGCCGGGAAGCGAGGGCGGTCCCAGCCTCCTCCCTCCTCCTCCGGCCCGTTTCCCTCACTGTATCCCCTCTGCAGCCCCAGAGCGGTTCCCCAGCCGGGCTCAGAGCAGCTCAGAGCACAGCACCGGGAATTTTTCCACAGCGGGCACAGACAGGTCCCGTCCATCACCCACCGTGCTGCTCCCCGACCCCACTGGACAAACATCAACCACCTGGAGCCGGAACCCACGTGCTGTGGGCTCTTGCCACTGCTGGGTTTGCATTTTAATACCCAATGTGACAAGTGTATCATTATTTTCCAAATAAAAGACCTTTCTTTACTTCCATGAGAAGCAGCACAGGGACCCTGTGCAGGCCCAGGGCTGCTCGTCTCAGCCCAGCAGTAACCAGACCCTCTCATGGGCATCCAACCCCCTCCTACAAACACCTGCCCAGCAACAGGTCCTTGCTCATCTTTCCCCAATCCCTGAGAGCTATTCCTAAAAGCCCAGCAGAGCTTTTCTGCAGGACCCAGCTGTCAGTTGCTGTCTCTGCTTTAGACAAGAAGAATATTAAAGCTCAGCTCTTCAAAAAAAAAAAAAAGTATTTTGCTTCCAGTTTGTTTTCTAATTTCCCATCACCTTAAAATGAAATCTTAAGTCTTTATTATGTGCTGGCATCACTTGTTGAACTGGGCCTGGGGGCTGTGTGTGTCTTCAAGTTGTCTCCAAAAATGAACTCCTTAATTCAAGCAGCACAGAGCAGTAACAGGCAGTTACAGCAGTGGGAAGGGAAGAAGGAGAGCTGACCCACAGAAAGCCTCAGAAAAGCCCTCTTAACCACAGACCTCCCCCCCCTCTGCCTGCTTTGCCAGCTTTCTTGTTCCATGCACCCAACTGTAATCTGCTCGAGGAAACTCCCAGTCTGATCCAGCCATTCAAAACCCACTGGGACCAGCTTGGGCTGACAAGCAAAGCTTCTGTCTAGAGGGTAAAAGAGGCAGCGAGGATTGTTCTGGCACAAAACACAGGCATGAAGCTCCAGCATGATCCAGACCTGATGGGCAACTCTTCATTCCAATGCTGTAATGCAGAATCAGCCAGCCAAGGTCACTCTCTGGAGCAAACCAGGTGTTTGTTTCCTCATTAGTGATCCAGCTACAACACAGCTTCCTGGAGGATGGTGAGTGCTTTATTCAGGTTCTAAATAAAGGGTTTGGAAACTGATCTTTTGGAAAAAAAAATCAGTGGAGAAAACTAAAATAAAATGGGAACACAGATGTACAGACATATCGTCACTCCTAATTTGACCTAAAAAGTAACTGGGTCCCATTTTACTGTTAATTTTCCTCCTGTCACCTGGGTTCTGACACCTGATTACATCCCCTATCACTGAGACCTGTCCATTTTCTTCTGGCAAATCCATGGCCCCTCAGGGCCTCTCACACCTGATCTCTTGCAAAGGTCACACCTGCTGCTGTTACATTATCAATAGCTTTTAGCACAAACCTAAAAAAATCAAAACAGCTCAGAGAGAAGAACTTCAGGCTAAAAGAAAAATGCCACATGGCTGGGTGAGCCCCTGGAAGGGGAGCTGTGTGAGCAGATCCTGTCTCCACGAGGACTGGCACTGCTGGCAGATGTTGGAGCTGCAGTCCAGGGAGGTCCACGATGACCAAGCAAGCCCAGAACCAAGGCCAGCCCCTTTCCTGCTGTGCCGGCAGCACCGCGCGCTCCCGAGGCCTGTGGAGAGCAAGGGCCCTCTCTCAGAGCAGAGCATTCCCAGCTGTGCCTCTCTCAGTTCACTGTTTTAAGTTTCTTGTCTGGTACTTCCTGGTGGTTCTTGGCCTGTCTCCGTTTCTGGCACGCTGCCCCCGTGTTCTCCCCCCCAGTCAGTCTGTCCAGCATCAGGGCCGTCTCCTTCAGGAGCCGCAGCTCCCGCTTCTCCTTGCGTTCCTCCATCTCCACGATGTCATCTGCAAACAGAGCCTTCAGCGGCGGGATCAGCTTCGGGATGGTTGGGAAGTCACCGAAACGTACCTACAACATAAGCACGAGAGCGCCTGCATGAGAACTGCTCTTTGTTTCCCTTCCTCCCCCTCGCCCGTGGCCTGAGCAGCTGGCAGGGCACTGCCCCTCCCTGTGTGCACACTCGCACCCAGCAGCCCTGGCTCGACAAGTTATTCACACTTTCTTCCCAGAAATGCTGTGAACCAGTACAAGTTCTGATTGACAGGGAGTTGCCCTCACTGCCACAACTGCCTGCAGCCCAGTGGTAGCAGCTTTTGCCTCCCAGATGCCTGCTGCAGAAAGCCACTAAAGTAGCACACAAACTGAGAAGGGAATGGGGATGGAAGCAAAATTAGGTTTTTGGCTGGGAGTAGCAAGCACAGACTTGAGGTGCATGAGGGAAGTACTCAGTCAGTGTGTTAAGAGTCAGATTCAAGAGCCATCAGCACCTGCCTCACCCTGTGCCACCCTTTCCCCATACTGGTGATGTCTGCTGTCAGCAGTTAAAGGAGCTGTTTTAGAGGAGACTGCTCTTCAGGAGATGGACTATCGACACAACTGGAAAATTGAAATCATGAGCAGTCATCCTAAAGTAACACTGCAACCTTTCCCATGGCCTGGCCCCAAGCTGCCAACTCACCCTCATATGGTCGAAGGCAATTCCAACCTTGTCGCTGAAGTCCTCGCTGAAGAGCGGGATCTTGGCGTACCTCTGGCTGAAGTGGTTGAGCATGATGAACTCTGCATTCATCTTCATCCCCGTCTGGATTGCCTGGGAGGTCGTGCTGCAAAGGAAGCAGGAGCACACCCTGGTCACACACAGGCATGGCAGGCTGCTCTGCACACAAGTCACATCACACCAGCTGACATCACCCCTGCTAAGCCCCAGGGTCCCCACAGGCACACCCTGCTCCTCTCCCCAGGGCAGCCTGCACTGGGGGCAAGTCTCTGCCTTCTAAAGGGCAGAAAAGCAGCTGTAATTACTTGGAGGTCAGCCTTTAAGAGCTCCACAAGTCGCTGGGGACAGGGACTTTTTCAAACACTTGTTCCAGAGGTGCCAGCACACCCAGCTCTCTTGCACTGTGATTTGCAGGTAATTCCATGCAGATGCTCTCAGGTCTCCTCATTTTCTGGGGGCAGCACGAGGAATCCCTGGCTGCAGAACTCACTGGAATTGCAAGTTTAGTTACAAGGACAGGATGACCCTTCTACCCCTTGAGCTTAGGCCCAAGATGTAATCAGGCAGAGGGTACTCTATCTGCAGAGTTACTGCTGTCTACTTGACAGCTTTCCCCACCTATTCTGGGGGACGTTGAGAGGAGCTGCAGTGGCTCCAGAGCTGCTGCAATGAGCACACACCACTTTAATGTGGAAAAGCTCTACACACACCAGGACCTTCTACAGGACTTGGGCCCTTCATCCCCAGCTCCAAGAACAACACTAGCTCAGACAGACAGCAGAACACACCCCACCTGTGGGTCTTCTCTATAGCTTCTTTTTCCAGGCCATCTTCCAGTGTGGCTTCGTGGATCAGCAGGGTGGCATCTTTACCTGTATAAACCATAATATATTCAATTTTCAGTTGAAAGCTGACTAGTCCAACTGCCTACATGAGCTCTCCTCTTTCCCCCTCAGCCCCTCACTGCGTGGCAGGCACAGCACCAAGGGTTTGGGGGTGCCCATGTCAGATACTTCTCCAAGAGATTCTTCAAGTAGAAGGTTTTATCACCTACCCATTTGCACTAAGGCCATGCAGGGCATTGTGTCCCCAGAGTAGACTACTTTCCAGCCAGATTTGTGGATCAGTGAACACGCAAAAGCATTTTTACAGTGCTGGACTTCACAGGTCTGAAACTGAACACAGACACAAGTGTTAGAGCCCAGGTCCTCTCCTGCCCCTCACAGCCACGGAGCCCCCAGCTCAGGAACTCACCTCAGCCAGGTCATAGCTCTCTAACAGAGAGCTCACAAACCCCTTGGCTTTAGGCCTGATGTTCTCACAGCCTTTCACAAGAGACTGAGAAGGAATCATTCTGTGAGGGAGGGAAGGAGAGAGAACTAAGGACAGGCACAAAGTAAAACCCGATCTAATCTTTAGGGTGGCTGATCTCTGCCATTTCTCCTCCTCAGTTCAGCACTTTACAAAGTGTAAGGTGTGCTTTGGTGCACCTGCCTGTTATTCCCCCTGTAACTCTTCCTGCCCTCTGCAAACTGCACATCCTCATTCTACAGGCAGCAGAAGGACTCAGAGTCACCTCCAGTGAAGGGGCTGGGGAATGGGTGACATGTTTTGCCTTAAATAAGGACCCAGCAAGGACTTTTCTCCACACACCACATAGAACTCTCACCTGATGTCTTCAAGAATCGCCTCACAGTGGTTGTGGTACTCGTGTAGCCAAGGCATGATCTGCTCAGGTGCTACCAAAAACAGAGGGCTGAAAGCCTGACCAAGGGCTGCCTGGAAAAGCAAAGGTGGGGGAAAACATCAGTACTAGGTGTACACCAAATCAGAGAGAAGAAATACCTAGGGAAGTGTTGGTGCTTCTCCACTACTCAGAAGTTCCTCTCCCCTCACCCCAAGCCAAGTTCAGGAGCATTGGAACCCTAGGGCTACTCACAAAAGCTCTCCTTCGCTCCATCAGGATGTTCACCAGCCCCTGCAAAGGAAACAAGCAGGACACAGACTGCAGTCAGAAATGTCTGGGGAGGGAGAGGCAACAGTGCTACCACAGCTCAGCAAGCCTGGAGTCAGAACAAACCTGCAGTCAGAAATCCCTGATTACTGCTTTTCAATAACGGCAGCTTACTGAGCTGCTGTAACACTGACACTGCTTACACCCCAAGCTGGTGGCCAGAAGCCCCCAAGGCTCTCAACCCTTCCCAGAAGGGTGGAGAGCAGTAAGTCCCTATCCAGCTCCTCAGACCCAGTGTGATGGTCAGAGAACAGAGCAGCACACACCATGTCCTGCTCAGGCCCAGTCTAGAACAGACCAGCTGGTCCTTCTGTGACTCTTTACTGTAAACACAGAGAGGGCTGGGTTGGACACTGCCAAAAAATTACAACTCTGCATGATTCCAGGGATCCCAAACGGAGAGGGAGAGGGAATTACAAACACAGGCAGATTGAGCAGTGCCTGGGGAAGGAATGCAGAGAGGAATGCAGAGCAGGGCAGCCCACACTCATCAGCTGGAGCTCCAGCTGACCTCAAAGAGCAGAGCACACATGCACAGAGCCCCTTCCCACACTGAACCCACCGAGTGATGGTCCGTGTGCATGTGGGACACAAACACAGCCACGAGGTTACACAGCACTTGGTCAACCTGCTGTCCATAGTGACGGCACAGCTGCCCAAAGGTTCCTTCTCCACAGTCCAGGAGGAGGGAGCGGGTAGCGCTGAGGAGACAAGTGACAGAGACCTTTGGCAGCCACTGGATGAGCTGTGAGCGGGGTCACGCTGGGAGGGGGATCTTTTGGGTTGGAAGGCAGAGATCTCAGTGCCCTACACCCCAGTGCTGTCCAGCACTACAAGCCATGGCTTTAGAGCCTTTCTGTCCGCACACCTCACCCTGGTCTTGTGCTGATGCCGCACACACCCTCAGGGCTATGGTAAAATGGAGACATTAAAGGCTTGGCTTTACAGGTGGCTCTTGATTCTTCCCCACCTACAGGGAGACTGGTGCCTGAAAGCGCAGACTCCAGGATGGGGTACTCACCCTGTGTCACCAGCACTGTTTAGATCAGCCCTTGGGCAGCACCCCGAGACACTGAGCCTGTAGGGCACTGGGATTTACCTGGTGTTCACCAGTGTGGAACTGACATTTCGGATCTTCATTGGAATTGCAGATCCTGTTCCCAGGAACACGATTTCAGGATAAGCACCCACATTTCCTAGAGAAAAGGGACAACAAGAACCTGTAAGTGTTCTCCACGTACTGCCCAGTCAGACACCATTCAGTTCACCAGCCCAGTAACTCCAGAGCCAAAATGCCCAGCACAGTCAGTTTTGCCTCCCTCAGCAGCAGGTTTACAAGGGAAGGTAAAACAAGCACCACCCGTTCACATCTTTTTCTGAGCTCTAAAGCAGTGGGGCACCAAGAGCTCCTGCTTCCCATTGCACTGATCCAAGCCAGGTTCCTGATCCATACCTGGTACAGCAGACAGGCTCTCTTTGCACTCTTTCACACGGGTCTGGAAGTCAGGGAGGTCCAAGGCTTCACTAACAAAGGTGTTGTGATCACAGACAGTCACAGCATCTCTGCAGGAAGAGGTCACATATCAGGACGGGGCAGGGCAGGCACTGAAATAGCCCTTCCTGTGCCACAACAGCCTTACAGCAAGGGGGTAAATGCTCTTTCCAAGTTCCAAGGAGAAGACATGTTCACAAGTGTGGTGTGCCAAAAAGGCCTAGCTGGGCTGAGAAACCACAGAAACGATTGTTCCACCAAACTGGAAAAGCTCGTGGAACAGAACCATGTCCTGATCCAGAGCTGCCAGGCACTAGAGGGCACTGCAAGGCAGCACGGAGGTCCTGGAAGAGGAGCAGCCACTCAAAAGGGCTCCAGGTTCCACTGAAAAGCATAAGGGACCTGTGCCCTGGGCCTGCATCAGAGCACCTGCAGTACCACAGGCCTTCAGACACCTTGAGCAGAGACACTTAAACTCTTCTTGGCACCTAGGCCCTCCTGTTCTGCCCAACAGAGCCAGAAATCTGAGCCTGGCAGATGGAATCCTCTTGCACATGTGGTCCCCAGCCCTTAAGGTTCTCACTGAGCAGCTTCACCCACTTGCCCACAAGGCCAGCACAAGCAAAGCTGACAACTGGTTAACCACCTGGTGCTTTCAGATCTGACATCAGGCTTTCTCGGTCTTCAGACATTAAGCCTTTCACTGGGCTCCCCAAAAACTCTCTCCCTGCCTCCATCTGCTCTGCCACAGCCATGGTCGGGTTCACAGCATGAGTCAAAGCAAAGGACAGAGGACCATGAGGCTACAAGAATGAGGGACAGAAACAACACTCCAAACCACTGGTCAGGTGTTGTTTTCAGTAGTTCACTCATCGACGTTCTACACCTTGTCCAGGACTTTCAGGGACAGGGACACAGCCCTCAGACACAGTTGGCAGCCTGGCAGAAAGGATCTGCAAAGGATGCTGACCCAGTGTGCTCCCTCACTGAAAAGCTGCTCCACGCCAAACCCCCAAACCTGGGAAGTCAGAGATTCCCACTGACCTCTGCCACTCCTGCTGTGGCCTGAAGTGGTACTTGAGGAGGCACTCCCCTCGCACGATGGGCACCAAGCACTCGGCCTCCGCTTCCTGCAGGGAGGAGGGGACATGGAAGGGCACGTGGAATGTGGGCTTTGCTCAGGGCACGGGGCACGTGGGCAGGGCCTGGCCTACCTTGCTCTGGTAGGTGGTGAGCAGGGGGAAGATCTCGGGGTGGATGAGGTTCAGCTGAGTTTGAATCTTGTAGCTGCGCGGGTTGTGCACAGCCGAGCAGTTCTCATTGAGCACCAGATGCTGAGTCCCGGGGCCAAATCTGTCACAGGACAACAACGCACACAGCAGTTTCAGCCCCACACTGGAGCTGTGCTCATGTGCACACCTGAGCTAAAGATCTCAGCTGAGCCAGCAGAGCCCTGCTGCCAGCCAACAGCTCCTTGTACTTTGGGAGGAACAAGAACAGGCTGCTGCCAAGTCACAAACCCAGGAACTAGAGGACCACGTACCTCTCCATCCACTGCTGGTAGCGGCTGTCTCGGAGCACTGACTCCGGAGTCATGTGAATAACCAAGGCCACCTGGTTCTCAGGAAGTCCCTCCTGGTACCTGGGCACATTCAAACACAGAAAAAATACCTGTGCTTCAGTCCATCCCTTGGCATACCCACCCCTGTCCCATCCTGGTGCTCCCAGAGATGCCCCTCAGGCAGACAGAGCACAGACCTTCAGAGCACGGCCCAGGAGTTCCAGGCTCCACAGCACCAAAGCACCAGGCTCAGACCCATCCTCTGCTGACACCTCCACTGTCCCCCACAGGCCATTTCCTCTCCTCCATCAGCAACAACATCTGCAGGGCCTCCATGAGCCCAACATGCCTCAGCACCAGCCCTACAGACTTGTTATGTGCAGTCTGGGCTTCCAGCACCCAGGAAAGTAGCAACCTCCCCTGTTCCCCAGCCACACACCAGTGCACATTCCTGCTCTGGGGCCCCTGAGGGAAGACAGGCCTGTGACAGTCACGGATTTCCACAGGTCCTGCCTTTCCTAAAATGCACCACCAGTCCTTTTTTGCATCTTGAGCTCCCTAACAGTGCCAAAGAGCTCAGCCATCAGCCACAAAAACCAGCACACCCAGACTAGGAGAGGAGCTCCTGTTTGGCAGAGCTCAGCACAGGGCTCCTTCCCCAAACCCTCCAGGTGACCCCCTACCTGCGGAAGGTCTCGTTCTCACACACAGCATCCACAAAGCCCTCGTGAGGACACTCCAGCACCAGGAACACGGGGCCAGGATCCGTGGGGGTGCACAGCTCCTCAGGGAACAGCTGCAGGAGACACACAATGGTCAGACCACAAACAGTGTGTGCACACAGCCCTTTCTGCACTGCTCTGTCACCAGCTGTTCCACCAGGCAGCCCCCAGAAGCCCCTCTAAATGCTCAGCAAACCCAGCCAGGGCAGTTCTTGTTCCCCTTCTGCTCTCATTACACACTGTGGAACAACAAATCCCCACCCAGGTCCCAGGGCAAACCACAATCAAACTTAAGGAAAGGAATTGTAGCAGCTTTTAGGTTCCCACGGCAGATTAAGAGGTAGAAAAAGCATGTTTAAGTAAAAAAAAGGCTCTGTGAAATTCTTGTGACACAAAGAATGTGTTAATCCTGTCTCCCAGATCAGGATCTGCACTTGAAGATCACCTGGGCCATGGCCAGAGCTGGCTCTGCCCCTCACTCCAGTGTTTGAGAGATTTGACCCTGTACCTAGGAACCACTAAACCACTTTTGATATAAGAACTGCAAACACAGTAAGGAGGGAGTTATGGCTACATAGACATTCAATCCCCAGATTTAAAAAATGCAGGATTTAACTCCACTAGCTTGCTCCTAGATCTGCATCAGCTTTGAGAAGGGGAGAGGAAGAAGCTCTGCCAAACAGCAAACATCCAGCCATACCACACATGTATTTGTTTTGGAGTGTGCTTTCTTGATCATAACCTCAACAGCCCCAGACATGCACAGTCAGCAACAATCTGAAGCTGGAACAACCCCAGTACCTACTGGTAGGCAAACCAATCTGCACTAAAGCTTGTCACTGGGAGCCCAGTGAAGGAGGGAGGGTGGCAAAGCCACAGTAGAAGCACAGACACATCTTACCTCTCTGCCTTCAAAAGTGACGCTCTCCCCATTTTTGAGAGCTGTAATTATGGGAAGGATGGCTGGAGTTCCCCTGAAAACAAGGCCATACAAAGATTTAGCTGCACAACACCCAAGTGTCTGCTGTTGCCCCGTGCCCCAGCCTGGGATCTCCTACTCACACTGGCAGCCCCATCTCCTGGGCTTTAGCTGCCAGGAATTTCCCCTTCTTTGGGTGAATCTGAAAAGACCAAAACA